CAGCCCTCCAGAGCTAAGCCAGGGACCACTCACATGTGTCTCACCCCCACAGTGGCTGATGGCAACGATGACAACAAGTGATTTGTGGACAACACTTTGGCCTTAAGCAATGTCTCCTTTAAGATTAGGCTCAATTGCAGGCGATAGAAACTCCCCACACCACCCAATAAGAAGTTTCCGTTCCTCCAGTGTAAGGAATGGGGGTAAGGGGACATTTTGCAGAGCTGTTGGAAGTCTCGGCTGAGCACTGGCTGCTTCCCCTCCCGGCCTTCGGGATTTTCACATCTGGTCCTCATGGTGCAAAGGGGCTGCTGAAGCACCCTTAAAATTGACATCTTTAGTCAATTGGTCGGTTGGTTTTAGTGGTGGTGGTGGGGCACACCTGGCAGTGTTCAGGGGCTGTTTCTGACTATGCCCATGATGAGGCCTGCTGGTATTCAGGGGCGCACATGCAATGCTGGGGGTCCGGAGTTGGCAGCAGGAAAGGCGTGTGTGTGTGTGTGTGTGTGTGTGTGTGTGTGTGTGTGTGTGTGCGCGCGCGCGCACGCGCGCATCTGCCTATATGAGGCACCTTGAGGCGAGAGATGTGTGCAAGCTGGTCCAGACCCCCCCACCCCACCCCACCCCTCGCAGGGCGGCCATGCCCCAAGCTTCCTCCATGTCTGGGTGAGAGGGTCTGACCGGTCCCGGGCACGGGGAGAGCAGGGCCCAGCTCTAGAGGCTGCGCCTGGAGAAGTGGGTTTTCAGTCTTGGCTTTCCCCGCTGATGGCAGGAGGACCTGGGGATCCCCCACGGGAACCACCCGCATGAAATCTCCCAGGAAGGAAACTCCTCCGCCTGCTGGGTGGAGGAAGATGTCACGCCCCGCGGGGGGCTTCTGCCCAGAGACGTCCCCCTACCTCCAGCCCCTCACCTGGCTCGTCTTTCCCAGGAGATGGAATCTCTACGCATCCACCGCCTGCCCCGCTGGGCTCTGGCCACAGCTGCCCTGCGGAGTAACTCAGGGCCCTTCTCAAACATCTGCCTCTGAGGCCGCACCGGAAGCGAGGGCAGGACAGGTTCCAGGAAGGGGCTAAGCACCAGCATTTTTTTTTTTTGCTTTTTGGGTCATACCCGGCGATACTCAGGGGTTCCTCCTGGCTCTGCACTTAGAAGTGACCCCAGCAGTGCTTGGGGGACCATATGGGATGCCGGGGATCGAACCCGGGTTGGCTGTGTGTAAGGCAAACGCCATCCCCTCTGTGCTGTCGGCATCTCTTTCTTTCTTTCTTTCTTTCTTTCTTGCTTGCTTGCTTGCTTGCTTGCTTGCTTGCTTGCTTTTGGGGTCACGCCCGGCGATGCTCAGGGGTTGCTCCTGGCTCTGCACTCAGGAGTTACTCCTGGCGGCGCCCAGGGGACCATATGAGATGCTGGGAATCGAACCTGGGCCAGCCGCGTACAAGGCAAATGCCCTACCCTCCGCGTTGTAGCTCCAGCCCATTCACTTTTGATGTCTTTCCCTAGCGTGAGGTCTTTATTTCAGTGACATGGGCGTGCCAGCACCTGGCGCATTGGGTGGACGGCTCGAGGCCCACCAGGCACATCTGTCTCCGCCTCTCACCTGGTCCTGAGTCGAGGCCCCTCTCCCTCTGGCTGGGCTTGCAGAGGGCACCTTTGGAAACCGTGTTTGTCTTTCTGCCTTTGGTTCCTTTCACGGTTCCCTTGGTGTCCGACAAAAGGGATTGTGTAACACGGCGTCTTCTGTTTCCTGCTTTCTTCCCCGAACTCACCTTTTCTGCTTTTCTGTGGCTAATCCAGAACTCCTCCCGGAGTGCATCACCCGTTCTCACCTGCCGTCTCGGGTGTGGTCACGGGCATCCGTCCCTGGGCACCAGGCAAGGGGTGGGGTGCTTTCTCTCACGGGACTCTGGGGTTGGGGTGCGGGGTCAGAGAACCTGGTCCTTCGGCAGAGGCCACTGAAGCTCCTTAGCCTCAAGGGCCAAGGCCGAGCCCTCTCCTGCCCTGGCCTCTGCTCAGCGTCGAGGGCTCCACTGTTCGAGCTCTGGGCCCTGGGGGTGGGGGTGCATTCCTGGCACTGCTGGGCACTGAGTCACCCTCCTCACCCAGGGCTCCTGGGGGTCAGAGGCCAGCCGGACGTGGCTGATGGCAGAGATTGTGAGTGTGTGTGTGCATGTGTGTGTTGAGTATGTGTATGTGTGTGTGTGTATGAATGTGAGTGTGTGTGAGTGTGGAGGTGTGTGTGTGTTGATGTGAATGTGTGTGAGTATGAATGTGTGTATCAGTGAGTGTATATGTGTGTGAGTGTGTGTGAATGTGAGTGTGAGAGTGTGTGTGAGTAAGTGTGTGAGTGAGTGTGTTTGTGTGAATGCGTATGTGAGTGTGTGAGTGTATGAGAGTGTGTGTATGTGTGAATGTGTGAGTATGAGCGTGAGAGTGTGAGAGTGAGTGCGTGTGTGTGTGTGAGTGTGTGTGAGAGAGTGCATGTGAGTGTGAGAGTGTGTGAGTGTGTGTGAGTATGTATGTGTGTGAGGTGTGTGAGTGTGTGTGTGTGTGTGTGTGTACACGTGCCATCTTGTAACCAGACAAGAGGCAGCAGGGAGCTTTTCTGGGCAGCACAGACGCTCGCCTGGGCAAAGCTGGGCATGAGTCATGGCCCTTCTAGAGTGGCCCGTTCTGGAAACCCCCTGCATTCTGGAACCCCCACGGACAGGCCCACTGAAGAAATACCAGCAGGGGTGTGGGTGGGGGTGCGGACAAGCTAGGACCGTCAGTAGCGGGCACTGCCCGCTGCAGCCGTGACCTAGGAAGCAGGAGACCCTCGGCCCTTTGCGCCCCGCTGTTGGCACCTCCCCAGCTGCCCCTCCCCTGGATTCTCTGATGAGCCTGTCTGTGGGGGGGACATGGTGTGCGATGGGGGTTCCCCAAATGCAGTCGCTCCTGGGCACCTTCCCAGCCTCGCGATTGCCGCAGTGCCAACCCGGACGCTGAGTGTCGGGCTCTTAGCTTATCATCATTTATCACGCAGCCCTTCCTGGTGGCTAGGGACAGTGGCAGAAAGAGAGAGAAGTCCAGCAGGGAGTTGGGACACAGCCGGAGCTCTGGGTGCCTCAGGGTCACAGACTCGGGACTGGTGTGTGGGGCCGCATGCATCCAGATGGAAACGGCCGTGTCTTGGGCTGGTGGCGCCAGTGGGTGCTTGTTAAATGTTTATTGTCTAAAGGAGCTCATGGGTGAGCGGAGAAAATGCCGAGAACACGGCTGCGGGGGGCCTGTTTGCTGCGAGGGGCCGCGGGCTGGCTCAGGGCTGGACCGGTGGGCCCTGGAGCCCAGCGGTGCTGAGTGAGTGACAGGGCGAGCCTGAGCTTTCCTCCTTAGATTCTCCTGTGGCTTCAGGCTGTCCTGCTGCGGTGGCCAGGCCTTGTGACTGGGGCCAAGCCGTGTGCAAGGGGTGAGCCACAGATATCAGCGGAACGCGGGCCCAGAGCAGAAGTCCAGGAGGGAGGGCCGGATTCGATCCCTGGTCTCCCAGAGGGAGCCCTGCCGGGAGTGATCCCTGAGCACAGAGGCAGGAGTCAGCCCTGAGTACTGCTGGGTGTCTTCCAGAAACAAGGCCACAAAATAAATAAACAACAACAACAAAAGGAACAAGGGGAAGGCAGTCTACTCTCACTGCTGGGGGTTCTCTCCAGGCGCCCCCAAGGGGCAGGGCTGGTGGGCTCCCACCCACCCTGGTGGAACCCACTGGCGTGCCTGTCGCTGGCTGGGGCAGAGGCCAGGACAGACAGATTTCCGCACATACTTCTCTCGGGCGTGCTCAGTAGCACCCCTCTGTCCCACCCTTGCAAAGGGCAGGATTCTGGGGGTTACTTACCCAGGCTTCTGGGAGGTGCCCCCCAGCCCCTGAAGTGCTTACATGCCATCTTACGTGCAAGACACAGGACATTCTTACGGGACAATGTTTAACCAGCGAGCGGCGGGGGTGCTCAGGCTTGGGGTGACTCACTGAGGCCAGGGGTGGGGGAGGGGTCCTCCCCTTAAAGGCCTTGGAAGCGGGGCGGCTGCTCTGCCCGCTGGTAACCCTGCCCGCTGGCGGGCTGGCACTCATGTCCCTTTGTCCTCTGGAAGGCGGCAGCTCTTTCTTCCAAGCTACCTGGGCTCCGGGGGAAGGCGGGACTCAAGAGAAATTGTCTTGTGTGGGGCTGGAGGATAGCACAGCGGGGAGGGCGTTTGCCTTGCACGCGGCCGACCCGGGTTCGATCCCCAGCATCCCATAGGGTCCCCCCGAGCACCACCAGGAGGGATTCCTGAGTGTGAAGTCAGGAGGAACCCCTGAGCATCGCTGGGTGTGACCCAAAAAGTAAAAAAAAAAAGAGACCCCCATGGGCTCCAGGCACACACATGTCCTGCCACCCTCTCCCGGGCCACGGGCATCTTCTGAGGTCCTCTGTGCTCACACGAGGCTGCCGGCAGCCAGGGAAGCATCTGCTCAGGTGCCGATGGTGCTCCTTGCCTCAGGCAGGCAGAGGGTGTTCTCGGCCCGGAAGGTGCCCCCCTTCCTGGAAGCGTTGCTTGCTGTTGTGGGGGGCTTCTGGGGATACTGACTCCCCTGCTGGACAGGGCTCCCTTGTGTGTTTATGATTCAAAACAAGATGCAGTAGCGGGTGGGTGAGGTGGGACTAGGGTACCTGGGATCGCACCCCCATGTTTCTTATTTTCTTCTTTTTTGGGGTCACACCCAGCGATGCTCAGGGCTGACTCTCGGCTCTGCACTCAGGAATCACTCCTGTTGGTGCCCGGGGGACCCTATGGGGTGCCGGGGACGGATCCCAGGTCAGCCTCATGCAAGGCAAACGCCCTCCCCGCTGTTCTGTGGCTCTGGCCCGGCCCCGGGTTCTCTGGGGAGAGTGAGGCGCTGCCCCGACGCTCTCCGTGGTCGGTGCCCTGGAACGGCCCCGGAGCCTGTGCCCTCGGCACTGGGGGTGACGGCCCGTGGCCCACAGACGCTGCAGGAGATCTTCCAGACGGAGAACACGGTGCTGCTGCTGGAGCGAGCCATCCAGACCAAGGAGACGCCGCTGAAGGTGGCGCAGACGCGGCTCGAGTGCCGTAGCCGGCGCCCCAACGTGGAACTGTGCCAGGACGGGCCCCAGTTCAAGTGAGAGGGGGGAGCGAGGGCGGGTGGGGGAGGGGCACTGCTAGAGGCCCCGGGGCGGGAAGTGTGGGAGAGACAAGCTGGACACAGCGCCCTGGGCACTCGGAAGGGGGCACTCTCTAGGTGGATGCAGTGTCTGTGTGTCTGGGCAGGCGTGTGGGCGTGTGTGGGGTCCTCTCTGTGCCGGGTGGAGTCTGTGCATGTGTGCAGGGACGCGTCCCTGGTCTGTGCGTGTTCTGTGCGCACACGTGAACCTGTGATTCGTGCGTGTACACATGTGCATCTGTGATCTGCTCGTGTCCTGCGCACACCTGCTCATCTGTAATCTGCGTGTTCTGTGCCTGCGTGTGTACCTGTGATCTGGGCGAGTTCTGTGCACACGCGTGCAGCTGTGGTCTGTGCGTGTTCTGTGTGTGCGTGTGCATCTATGATCTGTGCTGTCTGGTCTCTGGATGTCTCTGGGTGGGGGGCTGTGGCGCGTGCACGTGTGTTGGCGTGGCACACATCCAGGGCAGAACTGTGTCTCCTCCATCCGTCCGTCCGTCTGTCCGTCTGTCCGTCCCACGTGCCCCCCTCCGTCAGGAGCTCCGTGGGGCGTCTGCGGTCTTGTCCGAGTGCCGTCTGTCTGTCCGTCTGTCTGTCCGTCCGTCCCACGTGCCCCCCTCCGTCAGGAGCTCCGTGGGGCGTCTGCGGTCTTGTCCGAGTGCCGTCTGTCTGTCCGTCTGTCTGTCTGTCTGTCCCACGTGCCCCCCTCCATCGGGAGCTCCGCGGGGCATCTGCGGTCTTGTCCGAGTGCCGTCTGTCTGTTCGTCTGTCTGTCTGTCTGTCCATCCCACGTGCCCCCCTCCGTCGGGAGCTCCGCGGGGCGTCTGCGGTCTTGTCCGAGTGCCGTCTGTCTGTCCGTCTGTCCGTCTGTCTGTCTGTCTGTCCCACGTGCCCCCCTCTGTCAGGAGCTCCGCGGGGCATCTGCGGTCTTGTCCGAGTGCCGTCTGTCTGTCCGTCTGTCTGTCTGTCCGTCCCACGTGCCCCCCCTCCGTCGGGAGCTCTGCAGGGCATCTGTGGTCTTGTCCGAGTGCCGTCTGTCTGTCCGTCTGTCTGTCTGTCTGTCCGTCCCACGTGCCCCCCTCCGTCGGGAGCTCCGCGGGGCGTCTGCGCCCTTGTCCGAGTGCCGTCTGTCTGTCCGTCTGGACGGCGGGCTGAGCCGGGGCTGCCCGGCCCCTGACGGCACCCTCGTCCGCCGCAGGCTCTTGAACGAGGTGTCCACCATCGACGAGACGCTGCAGACGCTGCGCACGCGGCTGCGGGGGACGCAGGACTCGCTGCAGCTGCTGCTGCTGACCAAGTCCCGGCTGGAGCACGAGCTGGCCATCAAGGCCAACACGCTGTGCATCGACAAGGACCGCTGCCTGAGCATGCGCAGGGCCTTCCCCAGCACCCCGCGCCTGATGGGCTACGCCTGAGCCCCCACCCCGCCCCGCAGCAGGCCCGAGGCGCGGAGCCGAGCTCCGGTACCCTTGTTCCCTTCCTCTTAGGATGAAAAATAGAGACAGATCTACGAAGAGCTGCAAATAAATGTGCCCCACCCCCGGCCCTCCAGCCCGTTCCTGGCCCCGGGGGCGAGCGGGAGCCCGTGGGACTCAGGCCTGCAAAGGGCAGGGTGGGGGGTGGGGCTGGGACCCAAACCCGCCTCCCTGACCTGCACCAGGGCACACATCCCCTGTTTTTTTTGGGGGGAGGGGAGGCTTCCCACTGGAGCTCAGGGGGTCCTGGGGGTGCTACTCAGCTCCGGCATGTGGCCCTGGGCCCTCCCCCAGGGGCGTTTGGGACCCTCAGTTCCAGGTCAGGCGTATGCGACTGGGTTTCTTCCACGCGGGACGCTGTGCGGACAGTGAGTCGAGAGTTCTGCCCCCAGAGTCCAGATGAGGCGGGTCGGGGAGGAAGGTCACTACTGCGCGGGGCAGGGCACATCCGTGTAGGGAGGGGGGGCGTTGGGAGCTGGAGGGGTAGGACAGCGGCCACCCGGGTTCCGTCCCCGGCATCCCATCCAGTCCCCCGAGCACTGCCAGTAGTGAGTCCTGAGTGCAGAGCCAAGGGTGACCCCTGAGCATCGCCGGATGTGGGTTTGGAGCAAAAGCAAGCTACAGTTGCTGATTTCAGGAGAGAGAGAGAGAGAGAGAGAGAGAGAGAGAGAGAGAGAGAGAGAGAGAGAACAGGGGTTAAGGCACCAGCCTGGCCCTCGACTGACCTCAGGTTCCATCCCCAGCACCGCCAGGAGTGACCCCTGAGCACAGAGCTGGGAGTACCCCAGTGCAGTCCCCACATCCCAGATAAATATGCCACTTTCGTGTCTGGTGAAAGTCACCTCGAGCAAACTTTTGAGAGAGTCTTGAGTGACAAGGAGGGTCGGACAGAAGAGGGCGGGACTTCCTGAGGGAGGGCTGGGGGGGATGGGGGGGGCAGTCTCCAGAGGCAAAGCCCTTGCAGAGCCACGAGAACCATCAAGAGGGGTCAGAGGAGGCCAGATTCTGAAGGACACCCCCCCCCCCCCGGTGTGCATTGCTTCATTACACAATCCTCGAAGGGCAGTCGGTAGACCTTGTTATGAAACGCCGATTCTGGCTGGAGTGACGGCACAGTGGGGAGGGCGTTTGCCTTGCACGCGGCCAACCCGGTTCGATCCCCAGCGTCCCATAGGGTCTCCCAAGCACCGCCAGGAGTCATTCCTGAGTGCAGAGCCAGGAGGGACCCCTGTGCATCGCCGGGTGGGACCCAAAAAGCAAAAACAAAAACAAAAAATAAAAACACGTCGATTTTAGACGGCTGGGTCGGGGTGGCACTGCTTGAAATAATTCAACCGTCGTCTCTACAGTCTTGGCCATAGCCAACCCCCCGCCCACCTATAACTTGATTACTCAGAATTTACCGTCAGAGCACCCTCCTCCCCCTTTCTCACTTTTTAAAAGCACTTCAAATTGTCTTAGAGGCGATGCATAGCACTGGAAACCCTCTCACACTGCTTAGGATGTATACTGAGCCCCCCGCCCCGCCCCCGTTTCTACTTGAAAGGGAATTAGTAAGCGCGTCCCGGTCCAAAGGGCCTCCAAGGCGAACGTGCTGGACAAGCGCGTTCGTCTTTCCACACAGGCTTTGAGCAAAAGCTTTGAGGAGACTTTGAAGGTGTCAGGGCTAAGGGGCACACCTGCCTTAGGGTTGGGAGAGGTGGGTTCAGCTTTTAGGAATCAGGGAGGTGTGAAGAGGGGAAGGAGGGGCTGGAGCGATAACACAGCGGGGAGGGCATTTGCCTTGCACGCGGCCGACCCGGGTTCGATTCCCAGCATCCCATATGGTCCCATGAGCACTGCCAGGGGTGATTCCTGAGTGCAGAGCCAGGAGTCAGCCCTGAGCATCACCGGGTGGGACCAAAAAGAAAAAAAAAAGAAAAAAAACAGGAAGTGGGGGCTGGAGCGATAGCGGGGAGGATGTTGGCCTTGCATGTGGCTGACCAAGTTCGATCCCTGGCATCCCGTAGGGTCCCCCAAGCTCTGCCAGGAGTAATTCCTGAGTGCAGAGCCAGGAGGAACCCCTGAGCATCACCGGGTATGACCCAAAAAGCATCCCCCCCCCAAAAAAAAGGAGAAGGAGTTGGAAGGAGGTGGGACTGGCCAGATATTTGGGCTTCGGGCAGGACAGGCGCAGGGTCTACAGCAGGAGTGTGGATGAAGCCACCGTCTTTAGCGTCTGGGTTTTCGGGGCGTGAGGGAGGCAGAGGGGCGCCATGGGGGCGAGCTAGGCCGTAGAGTGAGCACTAGTTGAGACATCTGTCGGTGTCCTCCCGGGCCTGTCGCTTGAATCGCCAGAGGAGGAGTGTGAGGATCTGAGAGGCAGATGGAACTTGGTGGTGGCACAGCGGGGAAGGCAGAGGGTCCCGTTGGTTTAGAGAGTTCCAGAGCCCTCCCCCACCCCTGGGCCTCTTGCAGGGAAGTACTGGATGGGAGAGAGGCTCCGTGTTGTGTGGGCAGGAGACTAAGTGGGGGACGGAGCCCGCACAGAGGGGGTACGTGGGCCCATGGGGTCATGGAAAGGGCCGTGTGACTGGGGGTACTCGAGAAGCACAAAGCAAGGTCTTCGATGGGGTCAGGGAGATGGCGCCAAGGTGAGAGCACGCTCCTGGCACGCTCCTGGCATGTAGGAGCCCTGGGCTTGATCCCTGACCCCCACCGCCCTGGCAATGCACGTTCTTTCAAGCACTACCAGGACCAGCCCCCGAGCACAGAGCTGTGAGTAGCCCCCTGAGCACCGGATATGCCCCGAAAACAAAAAGAAGCAAACTAGGTCTTGGGAACCAACATCCTGAGCATTCTGTTGGCCCCCGGACACCTGTGGGCTTCACTTCCAAATCGGTCGAATGCATCAACGCCTTCAAAGGAACGACACCCTCTGTCTACCAAGGGTCTCACTTAAGAGTGTCCGGAAACCAGGGCTGGAGCAAAAGCACAATGGGGAGGGCGTTTGCCTTGCATGCGACTGATCTGGGTTCGATTCCCAGCATCCCATAGGGTCCCCCAAGCTCCGCCAGGAGTGATTCCTGAGTGCAGAGCCAGGAGGAACCCCCAAGCATAGAACCAAAAAGAAAAAAAAAGTGTCTGGGAAACCATGGCGAGTGCGAATGGGTGACGGGGGCTGGGTGTGATGAGAGTCTAAACCACAGGACGGTCAGGGAGAGGAGGTGGGTGGGCCAGGCCAAGGGCACAGGCCAGTCCCCTTAGGGCACCAGTGCCCCTCTGCTCTCTGCTAGCAGAGCAGAGCAACTGTGATAATGAATGACACTGTGGTGAGGCTCCTGGTCTGCCAACACGCGTCACCGCCACTCCACAACCCTCTTACCGTCAAGCTGCTGCTGGAACTCTTCCCATCTTACAGATGAGGAAACTGAGGCCCCAAAGGGGAGTCTACTAGCCTGCAGCGACCCAAGCTGGGTTGGGCCCCAGGCGGCTCCCACTTGGTCCTGCCACCCGAACCTGGGCCCCAGGCAGCCGCAAGCGCCCGGACGGAGTGGCCTTGTGTCTTGGCCGGGAGTTGCCTGTGCGTCATCCGGGCTGTCGGCTCCCGTCCCGGGGGGCCTCTCCACAAGTGTCCCCTCACGCAGGCCGTGGAGGCCAGGAATGGGAAGCAGGTTCCAAGCACACAATCCAAATTCCTCAGGGACCCTGCAGAGCCCTTCTCATGCTCGCAGCAAAGTGCCCGGAACACTCTCCCTCCTGGGCAGGGCCGGCCCCACGCCTCTCCTGTACCTGCCCCAGGCCCGGCTCCTCCCCGCGGGCTGCCCAGGATTCCTGGCGCTCCTTGGGGTGGGGGCGGGGGCTGCTGTGGGGCCTCAGGAGACGGGACCCCGCGGCCACCTTCTCACCAGGCACCCCCACCCCAGCCTCTCCTTCAGGGTCATCTCGCCTTGGGGGCGGGGGCGCGGGGAGTGGCCTTTGATGGGTCCAGGTCTCCTCTGGGGTGCAGATGGTTTGGGTCCAGACGGGAGTCCCGCAGAGCACTGCCCTTCACAGCAGCATTTCAGTCGCTGTGACGGAAGGAGACTCACCGCAGCTGCCAGAGCGCCGGCCATTCCCACCAGCTTCCAGCTCGTCTCCTCTGTTGTGATGGCCCCGAGGCTAAGGGGCCACAGGAGCCACGTGGGCCAAGACGTGGCAAACCAGCTGGCGAGATATACTGAAACACACACAGTCACACACACACACACTTATACACTCATACAGTTACACACACATTCACACATACAGACACACACACACTCTGAAACACACACACATTCATACAGTCACACACACATTCACACACATTCACACACATACGCACACAAACAGTCGCACACTCACATTCACACCACACTGACACACGCACATACTGAAACACACACACATACTCATACACTTATACAGTCACACACACACACACACTGAAACACACACACACATACTGATACGTTCATACAGTCACACACACTTGCAGTCATCCACACTGAAACACACACTCATACAGTCACACACACATACACTCATATAAGCACACACACTCACACATACATACCCACTCCCACACGCACACGAGTGTGGCCCCCGCCCCAAAGTCCGTCAGCAGAGAGGCTATCAGATGACGAGGACACCGAGGCCTCCTGAGCCTCCGACCACTTCCGATTGTGGTTCCCCTGGTGTGGCAGTGACGGGGTCACACAGCCTTGTTCGTGCACCTCACACTCTGGGCCGTGCTGCTCACACACCTGGTGTCACCCATGCACAAGAGATGCCAAAAGCAGCCGCGTCAGCACGTGAGCTGGTGCTGGGATCGAACTGTGGTCTCAGGCCTGCGGGGCAGTAGCTCTCACTGATCACGCCCTCAGGCCCCTCAGGTGCTCTGGACAACAGGCCCCAGCTTCCCTCGGTCACACCCCAGG